ACAGTACTTAAACACAAAATTTATTGCCCGTCAAATTAAATAACAGACTAAACTAACCTAACATAAGCTAGCTAACCTAACCTTCGTTTACTTGCTTTCTGGCGAAAAATTCCTGCATTTTCCGGTTACTACTAATCTACAGAACAAGCAACGGTAATGTGAGAAAAATTTAAGTTGACCCAGTCTTGGTCAGAATGACCAGCTTCACTTTATAATACTTTGATTTAGGGGAACAAGAAATACTTCCCCAATGGCCTGTGTAGGTACCACCATTTCCTCTCAAGTTATCCTCCATAGTCAGGTTCTAGTGTTTCCACACTAACTTGCAGCTACAAAAGCATCTGTGAAAATTGGGCGATCGAAAATTATGATTGCCACAATCGCTGGAGAAGATAATGAAGTCTTTGCAATAGCAAAAGACGTTTTCACGAATACTCTGCAGTCACATAAAATGTCCCAAGATTTCACCACAACTTTAGGCTACGTTCTAGATTCCACCGTAACAAGACGATTTCGATAATTTACAATTTTGTTTTTGGTTTACGATTTGCTGCCATTCTTAATTACGGTGACGTCATTATATTTTGAACATCATTATTGGCTCGCAGAATGGCAGCAAATCGTAAACCAAAAACGAATAGTTACTATTCCTCTGTGATTGTGGAAGATGTCCACGATTTTGATGCGACCACGGGAGACAATTTTGATGTTCCCTCAATACTTCAGGATGTTTTCACTATTTCAACGTGAATAGTTATTGCCGCATCTTTTGAAAAGTAAGGAAAATAAACATATGAAAGACAATATTGTTAAACAAAATTTAATACTGATGGGTAACAACCACTCACTGGTGAAAATCTTGAATATTAAGTTGAGCACAGTAATAATACCAGTAAGTATAAGGATTAAAAAATATTTTGACCACAATACAGCAAAATGGCTGTTTAAGATTCACACATTGTAGCAATAAAGTTGTACTTTAATGGGTAATAAAAAAGGCCAAAAGATTTATAATGGTTACAGTGTTCATCACATACAAACACAACTAGGCTAAACAAGGGTTTTGTGGTTTCAGAATCATACAATAACTCTGTGTAAAGACTAATGAGTCAGATGTTTTTAAAAGTCAGAATCACTCTATCTTAGTTTTATGGACATTATTAAATATTTTTGAAAAGACAGTTTTTATATTAACATTTTTCTATGTATCATTAAAAACCTTTGATGAAAAATATCTAATGGTAATGTATAAAATATTATATTGTTCTGGTATGAAAATTAAAATGGTTTAACAGCTACACTTCCCTGAAAAGTAAACTCTTAAGGCTACGATTATAATAGGTTGCTGGCATTTGGGAGGTTAGTGGGCATTAAATCAAATTAGGGATGCCATGGTCAAATGCTAAAAAAGCCCCCGGGCGCTCGATTTTGTGCATCCCACCTGGGAAAAATCCCAGGAGCCGGTCGCTTTTTGCCTCTTGGGATGCACAAAAATCGGTTGTGGGGCCATTGGTTCAAATGTGGCGCATTATACTAGGCTGCTAGTGCTAGCATCGGAAACGCTCTCTTTCGACATGTGCGTGCGCACGCAGTTTGACCACATATTATGGTCTGAGTCGGCTGTCTATTGTGCTTCCCTGTTGTCTACACATTGTGTTGCCTCGAGTGATTATTGCTTCTAGTATATCTTTAGGCCTAGTATGTTTTGTGATGGAAAATGAAATGTTAGATGAAGTGAGTGAAAGTGTTTTGGATGACATATGAGATGCTCATTTAGAAGGCTTGATTCTGGAAGAGCCGGGGACTGAGCTGAGCTCAATATTGAAAACTGAAAAGTAGCCCTAAAACCAAGCAAAAAGAACAAGAATTTAAGAAGACAAAGAAAGGGGAAAATTTTAATAGTATTGAAAAATATGTAGCAGTAGCATCCTAACACAAATAACGCCATTTTCGACTCAAAGTGGGTTTCTAGCATCACAGACACCAGCATCCTAGTATAATCTTAGCCTTACTAAACATTGAATTTTGTCCTATTCGTAGCTTTAATGTAATAAAACATATTCAGCATTTGATTCTAGTCAAAACATTTCTGGGACTTATCTGCAATAACAGTCATATGCCTTGATTAGCATTTTTTATGTGTTTATTATCCACAATGACTAGGCCTACAGTATATAGCCCAACTATTATAAACAAGTGTGGATCTATCACAAGCTGACTTTGCTTGCAACTAGTGATGTATCGGTACCATTAATTTAAACTGTGGCAGTCCCAGAGGAGGGATTGAGGTGATGGACCACCTTTTAGGCCTAAAATATTTTAGGCTTTAAATTTTACATTTTTTAAGGCATCCACCTCCTCCCTATTCAAAATAAAATCCTGAGGCCGCCACTGAATTTTATGTTTGGTAATTTAGGTCAGGTTCACACAAGCGACACATCTAGCTGACAGGCTGTGACTAGAATTTGCCATGGCCCGGCGACATAACAGTTCACACAAGTGATAATCTATCAACTAGATCGCAGGCTTGACGTAAACGAATGAGCATCGATAAAGGCATGTATGCGAGCAGCAGCAGTGAGGTGACTGCCTGAACGATCTCCTATGGCTCATTTGTACTGCTAAACAGCAGAGCTAGTGAATAGCTGTGGCAAGTCGTGACACTCAGCTAGGAAGCAGTAGTTGGCGACAACAAGCTCGATCGCCTCTGCCATACGCTCTTGTGAATTTGATCCTGTGGTCCTCCAAGTTGCTCCTGCGACCTAGTCACAGCCTAGCTTCATATACAGGGTGTCTCAGACCACCCGGCCGGCTTGTATAGCTCCAATATGAAAGCAAATGGAAACCTAATTTCAACTGGAACCCCCTATTTTGACCCCAAGGAATTCAGCTAAATTATTTTCAACCCCAAAAAAGTACCCCAAAGGGCAGATTTTGGGGGGTGGGGGTGGTTTTTGGGAAATTTTCAAATGTAAAGGGGGGTCGTGTTATACCTCTTTTTAAAGGTCCTTTAGTCCTGAGTATTTTAGTGGAAAAAGATTTAAATTATCTTCATCCCTATTTACAGGGTGTTCAAAAATGTACAAAAAATATACCTTTGAACTACTTTTCACTGTAAAGAGGTGGAATTTCGTGGGGGGTTCAAATTTTGACAACACTTTAATTAATAAATGAGCTTTCAAAAAACTCTGGTTTTAACCCTTTTGCTATCTTTTTACTTATGTTACGCATTTTCAAACTTTTTAAAGTTTCAAAAGCTGTTATCTCAAAAATTTCAAATGGCAACATGGGTTTCATTACAAACCGCATTGTAGCCCTTGAAATTTGCTATAATTTTTGTATTTAATGTTTTTTGGTGTCTTCATTGGTTAAAGAGATATAGCAAAATTAGTGTATTTTAATGTTTTATTAAATGGTATTCAAAGTGTTTGCTGTTGTAAATGTACACGTCTAGGTCTCAATTAAAACTAATTATGTTACAACATTTAAATACTACCCAGATTGTTGGATTAATAAAGGAAAAAACACAACTGCAAATATTCTTAGTTATTTTACAATTTACAAAATTCTAATAGTGCTTTGAATGAATACTGTCTATAAATGCTACTGGTAAATAAAAAAAAAAATCATCATGAAATCAATGAGCGTGTGCGTGAAACTGGTCACGTTTGATCAGATAAAACAAATTATAAGGAACTTACCGGATCTGTACGAGAGGTGAATGCACCTGTGGTGGTAAAATAATTTTAATGTTTTTTGGTGTCTTCATTGGTTAAAGAGATATAGCAAAATTAGTGTATTTTAATGTTTTATTAAATGGTATTCAAAGTGTTTGCTGTTGTAAATGTACACGTCTAGGTCTCAATTAAAACTAATTATAATTTGTTTGGAAGTTGAATTACAGTATGAACTAAATCAACTGCTTTCCTATTGTTTTTTGGTGTATTAAAATTTAAATAAATGAGAAAAATACAATAATGGGTAGAAACATCATGCACGAGTGCGGTAACGGATCAGCTATGGAGCGCCGCATAAAAAAGTGCACACCATATACAGTACCATAATAGTGGAAAAGAAGTACTACGTGCATAAACAGAGTTGGGGTTTGCATGGAGCAAAATGGAAGGCAATTTAAGCATTTGTAAAAGTCCATCGGTATGTAGGCTATTAATGCTGATTCAAACAAATTATTCATTCAAAGCACTATTAGAGCCATGTAATTGTAAAATAACTAAGAATATTTGCAGTTGTGTTCTTACCTTTATCAATCTTCCAAGATCAACAATCTGGATACTATTTTATTTTTTTAGACAAGATTTGTTTTAATTGAGACCTAGAGGTGTACATTTGCAACAGCAAACACTTTAAATAAAAACATTAAAATACACTAATTTCGTTATATCTCTTTAACCAATGAAGATACCAAAAAACATTAAATACAAAAATTATAGCAAATTTTAAGGGCTACAATGTGGTTTGTAATGAAACCCATGTTGCCATTTGAAATTTTTGAGATAACAGCTTTTGAAACTTCAAAAAGTTTGAAAATGCGTAACATAAGTAAAAAGATAGCAAAAGGGTTGAAACCAGAGTCTTTTGAAAGCTCATTTATCAATTAAAGTGTTATCAAATTTTGAACCCCCCACAAAATTCCACCTCTTTACAGTGAAAAGTAGTTCAAAGGTATATTTTTTGTACGTTTTTGAACACCCTGTAAATAGGGATGAAGATAATTTAAATCTTTTTCCACTAAAATACTCAGGACTAAAGGACCTTTAAAAAGAGGTATAACACGACCCCCCTTTACATTTGAAAATTTCCCAAAAACCACCCCCACCCCCCAAAATTTGCCCTTTAGGGTACTTTTTTGGGGTTGAAAATAATTTAGCTGAATTCCTTGGGGTCAAAATAGGGGGTTCCAGTTGAAATTAGGTTTCCATTTGCTTTCATATTGGAGCTATACAAGCCGGCCGGGTGGTCTGAGACACCCTGGTGTCGCTCGTGTGAACCTTAATAGACTACTAATACTGGTTCTTAAGCAAAACTTATTCTCGGTTCTCCTCTTCCACTAATAATTGTTAATATTTAATATTAATATTAATATAATTATTAACTAAATAGTACGGAACTATGTAGGTTGCAAATAATGACATTTTTTCATATGACAGTGACACAAAATAATAAAATGTCATCCATATTAAGAAAACCTTGGCATGTTTTGGTAAACTACTGAGAGTTGTCTTTTTTTGTAGTTCTAGAGACCGAGATAAAAATTCAAATCAAAGAATTTTGAATAAAACATATTCACTGTACTTATTATTATCATCTAGGGTGGTTTGATCTGTTGCATTGTATGTTAATTAGGAAACTTGAGATAACGGGAGTTGATTGTGATCAGAACTGTTGTTCGCGGTTGTTGCTGCAATCGTACTGGATGCATACAATGTTGCCCTGTCGTCAGAATGTCAAAAGGACATTGCTCTGTTGGAACTGAAGTACCAGTACCGCCGGTTCAAGGTACCGGTACTTTTCCAAAAACAAGCGGTACCGAGATATGTCTCAAGGTACTGACACACCACTACTTGTATCAAACTAATAATAAATAAATATTTATTTGGCTGCCACTTAATTCAAATACAAAGGGTAAATCTCCGAAGGTGTCCAGTGTTGATTTCAGACAAACCATTGGTCCTAAAACGATGAAACTAGATTTTTTCCTTTAAACCAATCACAAGGAATACTGTAATAATTTCTTAATTTTTTATGAATGAAATTAACAGAATGTTCCAAAAACTGAGGTTCACAACTTTGAATCTCAAAATCAGTTTTCAAATACAGTTATTTTATCTCACATTATAGGTCACTTTAAAATAATATTTGAATACAAATATTTTGGTGGAATCAGAATTTGCCGATTTTCATTTGTTTCAAAATGCTTTTTGTGGAAAGTTTTGTATTTGTTTAATACCATGTAGTTATCTTGAAAATAGAGACTATAATAATTAAAATTTCAATTTATATTTAAAAAATAGGAACATATCCAAAATTTAAAAAGTTCAAACAGCGTCATATGTCAAATTGCATATAATTTTAAAGGTATTTTGATTCCAAGCAACCTTCAAATTTTAAATTTACCTTTATTCTTAAGTTTATGAGTTAGTTATCGACTAATAATATGGGCAGTGCCGGATTTACCACTAGGTCGATTAGGCCGCGGCCTAGGGCTGCAGAGTATTGAGAGAAACATTTTTTAGATCAAAAATTAATTAATTTTTTAAAACCACCAGTTTGTCAAGATGTTCATGATTTCACCGCGATTGTTGATGATGATTTCCCCGTGATAGCGGCTCACAGGAGATATTAACGATTTTGCCGCGGCTTGACAATGATGATGTCCTCATGATCGCAGTCCACGGAAGATGTTTTAACACGACTTTGCCGCGATCGCAAGTGTCGATGATGTCCTCAAGGTCACAGCTCACTGGATATGATCACGATTTTGCCGCGGTCCCGAGTGTCTAGGATGATGTCCCTTTGTTGCAGCCCGCGGAGGATGTTCATGATTTTGTCGCGGCCACGGTCACGGATACCTATGATGGCTTTGACTTGGTTTAGGAGAGATGTCCACTATTTCATCAACGATCACGGGTGTCGATGATGATGTCTCTTAGATGCATAGGAGGTATTCATGATTACTTCCGCGATCTCAAGGAATTTCCACCACAAGGAGAGGGCCGCTCAAGTAATTCGGCCTAGGGCCACAAGTACCCTAAATCCGGCACTGAATATGGGCCCCCCATAAAACACATGATAAGTGTTTGCAGAGTCAATGGTATGTCTGAAATCAATACTGGACACTTTAAGACTAATCCTGTATAAGTATAACATTTTAGTTTTATTTGTAAAAACACATACACACATATAACAAAAAATGTTAAGGAATGCTTTAAGGAAATAAAATCATTACATTGCTGTTTTTAAATACTTCCTCAGAAATAAACAAAAGAAAAATACCAAAACAATGCAACAATGAAACAATGCAATGCTAAATAAAATTACACTATGAATGTAAAATATAAATATAAAATTACCCTTTGAGGTCGAATGGCGAGTATAGGTCGCTGCCCGCCATTTTCCCGACTGCTAAAAAATGGCTATACCTATACTAAAAAAAAAATACTATCAAAAATCGAAAAAGTTGATTTTTGCGGTCAAATGGCGAGTATAAGTCGCCGGGCACCATTTTCCCGACTACTGGAATGGCAAACTATACTCGCTGAAAAATGGGGAAAAAATTCTACCTCAAATGGAATTACTAATTTTAACGACAAATGATAGTGAAAAATACAATTGTAGAAACTTAACCTATTGTTTTGTAAACTAAGCTATAATACATTATTTTTAATATTGCACATAGTTTTTATACACTACCACTGGTGTTATTTTTATCTTCCTTTTAAATTCCATTTCATTCATCCTGCAATATCAATAAACGTCAAAAACAAAAACCTATATATTTCTAGCATTTACTACTATCTTTATGCCTAAGATTCTTCTAATATCTTAAATAAATACATAAAAAAGTTGCAAACAAACTCAACCACACAACAATAACAAAGACTAAAATATTTTGATAAAAAAGATATAAAAATGTTAAAAAACTTAAAAGTTCAAGATTAACAGACATACTACGCAAGAGGACTTTCCTTGCAGAGCAGTTGGTATAACTAGTACTGTAATCCTAAAAGAGCATACTTACATCCTGTAAATATTCAACCCTCACAGTGTGGTGATAAATTGGTTGAACTGTCAGTGGACATTTGCCATTACAGACCTAACAACATTTCACAACAAATTAAAATTTTATAAAGTTGAATTTAGGGGGGTTCAGCATGTTTCAACCATTGACTTTTCCACATATTAAATTTTAATTATGATATTTTAGCTGATACATTGCTTGTAAACGTAAAGTCTGGACTTGATGAGAATTTAACTGGTTGTTTTATATGGTTGAATGTGTAGACTACAAGATGGTGGTTGTTGTTAGAGTATGTCTAGAGGGTTGGGCTGACCAGTAACCTCGAAGATGGTGGCAGCAAGACGACGAGAGTGTTCCAACACACAGGAGGACGTAGCCAGACCAAGATGAATGCAATATAGCTCGTAACAGCGCACTTTGCTGGCCACCGACTTGGGGAAACACACTTCTGTCAACCTTCTAAAACACATCAACACTTTTGTAACAATTGAAAAAAAAAATACTAAGACATAAATTACCAGTTGCTTAGTTCCTTAACGACTATTTGAAGTTATAATTTAGTTATTTATATGTCATACATTACAGTTATAAGTTCACTAAGTAAATAAGAAAGAAAATCTCAAAACCACCAATTAACTTTTAATTAGCTAACGGCTTGGCAGGTTAATGTTGGGTGGGGGTAAGCTTTCTGCACTGAAATATGACTGACCTGAATTCCCTACAAAAATGACAATGTGGCCTTCGAGGAAAAAGTTTGGAGACTTCTGCATTGAAATATTAATATAAATATTAAATAATAATGATGAAATATGGTTATTCTGAATTTGTGAACCCAAGAGACCTGTACCAATTAGTCTGTGGTAATGAGACACTGTTTACAAATGAAAACATAGTTAATATGCAAAGTTTAATCAATTACAATTATATAAATTACCTGTAAAAATCCCCACACATAATTCCTGGAACGGGTAGTGTTTTGACAGTAGTTGTAGGACATACTTTAGGCTTGATGGGCGATCCCTGGCACAAAGAAATACAAGAAATATGTCAATTTTTATACAACAAAATTATTATAACACTTGAACTTTCATCTTCAAATCAAAACTGTTAAGCTGTACAAAATATCAAAGAAGACCATATGATTTGTCAAACAAACCCCTAATGAGCAAATAACAGAACCATAAAAATTATAACAATAAAAATGCTCACTATACCAACTATATTATTAAGCCCTGCACACACCAGAGCGATACTCCGTGCGATACTGGAGCGGGCGCGATACTTTTTCTTGGAAATTCTCTTGCGATACTAGTGGTCAGTGCGATACCATGGCGGCTTATGGAGCCGCACACACCAGAGCTAACTGCGATACGCGATACCGAGGTGAATGCGATACCGTAGCGATAGTATCGCGGTAACGCTGCATGCACTGTTTGCAGCACTGTATCACGGCGATACCAATGTGGCCAAACTATGAAATACTCAGTTTTGTATTTTCTCTGTACGTGTAAAAACAACAACAACATGTTGTGTATAACCGAACCTTTACTTGAAGTTGTTTATACATAACCGATGCTCTATGATTTGTATCACGTTTTAGCAACTAGAAATTTGAATAGGGTTCGTCTTCATTATTTGTTATTGAACTACGTTTTTCTGAAGAATTTACAATAGAATTCCCAAACATTCAGACATCTTGGATTTATTAATTATTTTAACACTTAAACATTTGATTTGAATTATCAATAGTTTTTTCCAGTGCTGCTGTCAATCCAATGTTGGGTGGTTGCTGACAGAATAAAGTATTTAATACTGGTTTGATGATGATTCAAATTACTCTTTAATAGTTCATACAATATTGTATTAGCTATAGCACAGAATTATTGTAGAGGTTTTGCTAGTCAGACTAGACGAACTAGAGAGATGGTAGGTAATGAGTTGATCCGTAAATTCATTAAAAAAATATATCTACCAGTCTCACCTTAAAGTGATTGCTAGCCGTTCTTCGGCACTAATCGCTTCACGGTAGTGGGTACCTACTTTCCTATTCGATAATGCCAGCAATCAAACTCAGCAACTCGTCAAAACATTCCCGATTCATTCTAAAATGTATGTAGAATCTTTTGTCATCTTTTCTTAACTGGGACATGAGCGTATGGTACTCGCCAAATTGCAGCCATTCTTTATTAATGTCGCGTACCCACATTTTCCTTGCTCTTTCATCTTCTAGCATGGCTAGTAACAGCAAAGATTCTTCTTCATCAGACTATGTCATAGTTTTAAGTTTACACACAGTACAGTATACAAACACTACCTATAACACAACACTTTTACAACTGGAGAGTCTCACAACCACCACACCCAACCTACGCTCCTCTGAGGTGTACTGGCTTTTCCGCGCTTCCCTTTCCCGCTCTGGTGTGGAAGCATCTGTTTTCGCTGCGATATTATTGCCGAAGTATCGCAGATCAAATTCTAGGAATAGTATCGCGCCACTCCAGCGATAAAGTATCGCTCCGGTGTGTACAGGGCTTTACAACACCATTATTATTTATCTGATCACAGTAAATTAAAAATATGATTAATCAAGTTCTTCAGAAACAGTGTTTGCCAGTACCTTAAGTTACAAATGAGAGCAGTATAAAATAAGGCAAGAAATGACAACAAGCTATCTTATAATAGCTGAAGTGTTTTGTTAAAGATAAGATACTACAATCTTTACGGACTTGCATACACCTAGTTAAATAATTATGTGAAAAATCACATAAAAGCTTTAGCTGGTCTAAAAGTGAAAATAAACTTTTATATACCTAGTTGAATAATTCTGTGAAAAACCACATAAAAGCTTTTAAAGTCTAAAAGAAAAGAAAGTAAATATTTTATTCCATCTTATACCACAGTAAAACCCCGATTAACAGAAATAAATGGGGCAAGACCATTACAGATAAACTATTTTACCAGTTAATCAGTGGATGGAATTTAAAGGTTTTTTCTATTCCCATTCCACGAGATCTACAATAGTTTATTAGGTTATTTTAATTAATGTCATCTTAAAATCCACAACTGTGTACACCAAATTTATTTCTTAAAATAATCAACAATTGTTCACTGAACTTTTATTTTTATCGCGGTGTGAGAACCGTGCTATTGTCTGCTTTGTTACATTTTGTTGGACAAGCAAGGGCAACTAACAATGCCATGGTAGGCGATTCCCTTTGCCTAACTAATTTTCCAAATTTATTATTATCCCTTAAGTTAACATGGGTTTTGGTTAGAAGGGGTTTGTTGTACTGATCAAACTTACAGTATTATCCTCAAACCACAGGTAATACGCATAGTTGAAGGTTGTGTCTTTCCACATGACTGCCATGTGGCCATCTTGTAAGTGGTTGCGGCTCAACTCCACCATGGACCATATCTAATCAACAAACATCAAAGACCACTAACAACAACAGTACCAGTATTATAGCTTGTTACTTGGAAAAGGTTTTATCTTTCTAATTGTATTGTCAAACTTAATCATGAAGTAAAAAATTAAAAATAATATCTACAATGCACTTTCTTACATACATTTTCACATTGGGTTAAGTACAAAGTTTAAGTGCCTAGACAACTTAGTTATAGATAAGGTACTATATTAAGTAAAACTTGAGTGTCATTTGCAAAGAGTACATTTTTTGTGGTTCTGTTCCCACTGAATTGAGATTAAGAGATTTCAATAGACAAAATAAAACAGAAAACTTTCCCATGGTAGGCTGTACTCAATAAAATCCAAATACATAATTTTGAATTCCATGTTGATGGCCCCTGGATTACTATAAATGACTATAATATTGTGGTATAATTACCTCGTCAAGTAATCCAAATGTTGCTGATGTGAGGTTAAAAACCTACATGTTTCACCGTTAATACGTCATCGTCAGGGTACAAATAACATAAAAGACATTACTGTCACACGCACACGTCATAATAAATAACGAGCTGTCGGCCCGTCCTACGTACGGGAATCGAGTAGTCCATTAAAACTGTATTTAGTTACTGTATATCAATATTTCTATTCCTAATTGAAGCATAGTTTAAGCAGTTCAAAATTTATTGTAAAGAAAACGCTGCCAATATGAATTAAAACATGTGATCATTGTTATTTCCAAACCTTTCCTCATAAATTTGAGTACCGGTAGCAAAAAAAATTTCATAAGCTTTCTTTTGAAAGCTTGTGAGCTTCGATTCGTATACAGCAATAATTACCAGAATCTTACTTATTTCCTATAATCAATGACAAAATCACAGAGTAAATAAACTAACGTCATAAGTTCTATAGAATATGGAATATTTTTATATTCAACTAGCTGTTAGTTATAACAAATTATATTGCACTAAAACAAACTAAAGACTTTAAAGACTGCTCAAAAAAATAAATTAGATCATCTAGTATTTTACTATGTATATTTAAATACTCTGGCATCCTCTAACCGAATAAATGAACGTATCAATGATTATAGCATTACACATAGTATAAATAAGTCAACCTTACGTATGTAATTTCATTTCCTTCCAAATGCTGAATTTGTGTTGCGAATGCTGAATATTTACAGCTGTTACGTTAAGCAAATGGTGTTATACCAAAAGCTGATCTAGAATTTTAGTGTCGGCTGCTAGACTTTTTAAAAATTCAAACTTAATTTCTAAAAAACTAAAACCCTAAACTAAAATTATGGCTTCGACATTCCGTTGTTCTCAAAATTATCTTTCTTTCAACACAAAAATCGTGAAAATCCGTCAAGTAGTTGATTCAAAATTGTAAAATAAAAAAACCCTGTCATATTTTAATATATAAATATCACAAAACAAACATTTAGATAGGCCTATCACACGATGTGGACGGTCCCGGTGCAGGTTGTAGTAGACTGCAGTGTCAGGCTCCTTCCTCGTTATCAGTTGGACAAAGGTCAGGTGGTCGGTTACTTTGGTTTATAAAACATTGAAGATAGAGTGTTCGTTTACATTAGTAAACTTTTAAAATCTTCGTAATCCAAACAAGGAAGGGCTTGTGATGATGAATCACAAACAACAGCTGAATCAAAGGTTGATAAGAGAGCTGAAAAGAGTACAAGTGCTGAACCTATTCACCGAGCTCGGTCACATTATTCTACTAAGATTATATTTGAGGAGAGAACCGTGCCTCAGCTTTCACAAGAAAGGTTTTATTTAACGATAAAAACAATGAAGTCAAAGATGGAAACTGAGAACATTCAGGTTGTTCAGGCTGAAGATGCCGATAGATTGATCATTACTACAGCTATTGAAAAGGCCTCTAATTTTGAAGAATTGGTCATTGTAGGTGAGGACATAGATACTGGTACTCCTCAGTGGCCTCACTAATCCCACAGTAACGCCTACGTTTAAAAGTGTGGAAGAGGTAAAACGCCAGATACCCTGTACTCAATCGCCTCAATGTCTTCTGACCGTCCCCACATGCGTATTCTGAGGGCAAATGCCTTCAGTGGATGTGATTCTACTACTACATGCTTTTTTGTCAGGGAAAAGCTAAGCTTCTCGCAGCAATTCAAAAAAATCCAGACCTCAAGGAGAAAGCAGCAGTTTTTTTCCAACTTGCACATCTCACCTAACGACATAGCCGATGCGGGAAGCTTATCCGTTTTGACCTGTATGGAGAAAGTAGCGTAATTAAAAGCCTGAATGACAAGCTTTTAATTAATTTCATCAGGTCTTTGTGAAGGCTGCAACTAAGATAAATTTCAATCTGGCCAGACCCCCTCCTACTCAAGATGCTGCCAGTTTCCACTCACTTAGAACCTATCACCAGTTACAGAGGTGGCTTGGTATTTATATTGACCCTCTTGAATGGTGGTATCTTTTAACGTCACACGGCCTTTCCCCAAGTATAATGTCAAAGGATGCGGTTCCTTCACACCTTATACAGATGATCTCCTGCAATTTTAAGAAGATATGTGGCGATGCTTGTTTCTGCTGGAAAGCAGTTTTGAAGTACTCTATTATATGCTGCCATGCAGTGGGGACAGTCTTTTGAGAATCGCCCAGATATCGTTGATGTGGACACTCCAGAGCCCGATGACCTACTAGATGGTGTTGAAGGAAATGGCATGCTTGTAAACACTGACAAACGGGAGATCATGAACACGGAAGCAGGAGAGTATCTTCAAAATAGGCCTTTAAAGGGGTTTAAGCGATATTAAAAAACCTGTTTTCACTGTTTCCCTTTCACTCTATTTCTCTTGATAGTATGAACATTTGATCAGAAACTTCTTTCCATTTTAACAATTTTATTTTAGAATAAAACTTACAATCTGTTGTTGAAATTAAATGAATTCTTTTATATTCTTATTATGGTTCTTTTATAAGATTTGGCCAAACTGAATAGCTTGAAACTTAAAATACTAGCATTGATGGTAGATTTTATGAGCTTTGAAGAACCATATATCGCAAACTGTTAGGCTTACAAAACAAATTTGGTCTTACATTGTAGGTAGTTAAATGTGATTTTAAAATAGTCATGGCTATTTTTTGGGTTGGCTATTTTACAGTGAAAAATTGATGCTTCAGAGTAAAACATGGCCAAACTTTAAAAATAATTTAATTTGGCAAATTTAATCATTATTTGCGGAGCCAAATCTTGGAAACTATTAGGCCTGCAATAACCATTTTGGTCTTAAATTATAGGTAATTTTGTCTACATTTAAATTGACTATATTTGTTTTTCATACAAAAGTGATACTTCAGGGTCAAAATTTAAAATACAAACATAAAATAAGTGCAAAATTCCGCCGCTTTTTAGGCTTTTTGGCGGTGATCCGGAAGGTCGCCGAGGTCAAAAATTTGGATTTAGCATCTCAGAACTATCACATACAACACAAAAGGCCTCAAACATAACCTCCCATGACTGGTACGCGAGGCATGTTCATTGAACTAATTAAAGCTGAAGTAGCTATAAAACCAATCTCTGACAACAACTGCAGGAATGAAGCCAGGTTATGTTTATTACGTAAATTAAAATCAAAGTACAAACAAAGCCCTAATTCTAATAATCTAACGAGGATGCAAAAGCATGAAATCAATTTTCTCAAAATTATCAAAACAAATTGTCTGAACACGATGCTATGCTTTGCATAGCCGATAAGGGAAATACCACGGTTATAATGTACAAATACCTCTGCCGCAGCAAACCTGCAGACTAAGCGAATTTCCATTTGCCCGATTGGATTTTCAAATAAATCTATTTAAATAACATTATGTTAAAAAAACCTAGGTTTGCTGCTACAGGGACGGTAATAAGGTGGGTGTTTTAGTAGAATATCAATCAATAGCTTAGTATAAAATAAGTTAATTTGCCAAGTTTGATAAAAATATATCAGTAAACAAGCAAACTACAACAGATTACTTACTCTCCATAAGAATAGCATGGTAATTTTAAATTTATGATATTTTGAATTTTTTGATTGACCATAGATACATTTATAAACATTTGAAAAATAGTGTTTTTGACCTCTGGGAACATCAAAATGAAAAAGTAAATCGGTCCCGGGCCCAGGTCTTACCATGAGACCTACGGTAATAGCTACTTCCCTATAGGGAAATTCGCTAAAAGGATTACGTCGCTAAAGTTGATGAGTTTATTACTGCCAACAAAGTCATTGAGCTAAAGAAAGACCCTTCAAAAAATTACAAAAAAAAAATTAAATCCCCATTTTCTGGTATTGTATCTGAAACGGAAGAAGACAACAAAATCTATTTCTTGAATTTAACTGTAACTAAAATTAACAATCGTTTTTATTAAAAATTTACAGGAAACCCACTTTTTCAGTCCAGACCATTCATGCGACCTCATACCACCCACACTCTAAAAAAAAATGCAGCATTCAATTCAATGGTACATAGACTTTAAACAGTCCCTTTAAGTCCTACAAATTACAACAAATTATTAAGCAGATAGCCCCATCCAATGGCTACAACAGCGGGCTCGTAGAGAAACTTATAACCAAACACCACAATGGGAAGGTCAAACAAATGGACAAGCGTAAGAAGTATGTTTGTGTTGAACATTCCCACACACTATAAAATTGCCTATCAAAAGAGCTTCGTAGGCAGGGAATCAAATTAACTTTTATTAAAACCACAAACCGTACTTGTAACACCTTGTCACAAACTGACCAATGAAGAGACAAAATTGAAATGACAGGTGTTTATAAAGTTAAATACCTAGACTGTCCAAGCCAATATGTAGGGCAAACATGTCATGGGTTCGTTACTCGTTACAATGAACACAGGCCCAAACCACGTTCATTCAAACAGAAGTCAGCGTTCGCCCAATATTTAATTGACCTAAACCATAATATGAGTGGGATTGCTGACGGTCTAGAGGTGCTACATGTATGCAGAAAAGGTAGTAAATTAAACACACTTGCGGAATTTGAAATCTACAAATTATACCACGACAACACCACAAGTGGACATATCCTCAATGAAAAACTGCAGTTCTGTACACACTCTATCTTCAATGTTTTAATAAACCAAAGTAACCGACCACCTGACCTTTGTCAAACTGAACAAGGAAGGAGTCTGACACTGCAGTCTACTACCTGCACTGGGACCGTCCACATCATGTGATAGCTAAGTGTTCGTTTTGTGTTATTTATTGATTATGATGTGTGCGTGTGACAGTAATGTCTTTTACGCCACACTACATTATTTTGATGAACTTTCCACGCAAGGATTTAGTCCAGAAAACAGCTGTTTGCCGCCAGCTTATTCAAATGGGGTTTCATTGCGTAATACTGTTCTGCAATGAGTTTTACCGGACACCTATCAGCTGATTATACTGTATTTTCGTGGCAATTAGTGGTTATAAACAAAAACATAACCTCTCTCAGAGGTTATGAGTAGTGTTTATTAGTCCTTTAGTTGGTGGAAATATATAAGGATTTGTACGGATTAAGTAGTATGGCGTAAACTATCGTACGTAACTCGTCCAAAATGTGTGTACCGGACTCGTATGGTAATCCCGTACTCGACTTCGTCTCGCACGGGAACGACCACACTCGTCTAAACACGGTAAACGGTAAACACTTATTTTCAGGACTAGTAACGTAATATACTATAATGTTATTTATATCCTGACGATGATGTATTAACGGTGAAACATGTAGGTTTTTAACTCACATCAGCAACATTTGGATTACTTGACGAGGTAATTATACCACAATATTATAGACATAACTTTGCACTAAACACAGTGTGATTTATCATTAATGAGTTTGTTGCTTGTTGAGTTTGCTTTGCTTTGACATAATCTAACCAAGTTTTAACCTGAGAAGATTCAATTAAAGTTTAAAAATACTTAAAATGTATTAACAATGTGTTTTTTTTAAACAATGTGTGCTAAAAACTCTTTATTAGTGAGGTTAATACTTTCTATTGTATGTGCTTATATTAAACACCCCCCAGCTAGCTCATGGTCATATAAAGAACTAATTTACTTAGAATCTCATACACATAATCATGTTACTTGACTAAATAAGTGAAACTTTGAAAGGGAATCATTCAGTATGTTTATTTTTGCTAACAAAAACCTAAGAGTGAATATTTATACTATGGTTATATTATTTAATTGGACTTTCCCAAATGTCTTGTTTCATTGTGGTGTGAGTAGCCTCCGGATTGCGAATAATAACTAGTGATAGTGGTTTAAATACCTTATTCTTACAATCCGATTGTCTTCACAACTAGTTTCGACCTGCTAGGAGGTCATCATCAGGTGTGTACAAGGATGATATTACTTCATATGAAGGTCGTCATCAGTATAACTTCATATGATGTTTTCAAATGTCTTGTGTTTTAAAGACATGTTGGGAAGATCCAATTAAATAATATTAACATATTAAAAACCAACGTCATTATGCATTTTTAAAACTCTGTATTTATACTATGTACAAACAAACCTTTCTCTTGGTAAGATTAACTGTCTCTTCTGATGAGAAGTCTAGACTTGGAGCAGTTACTCTGTGATTTGCTCGGTCAATGTACATGAAGTGAACCAATCCAGGAAACTCTTCCAGGTATTTATTGATTGTCAATGAAGTTCTTGTAAACATTATTAAGGAAATATCCAATCATTTGAATGAAACCAAAAGTTAAAAAGAATAAAATAATTAAAATCAAACATATTGTTAGAGAGAAATTATTATGTAGATTAATCAAACATGCATCATAAGTCAAAAACTTTTAATGCAGTACAGTATTTTATCATAATTACTATATCTTTATTTTCTTAGTTGATGTTTTTATGAGATAAATAATAGTTTTTAGCTCTTAAGAGTAAGTAATTTAATTGGAATTAGCTGAAATGGGGAAATTTAGTTCTTACTAGGTAAAAGAGGGAATTAACCCCCCCCCCCCTTTAACTTTTGAAAACTGCATCACTGTGCCGAGAGAAAAAAAAAATTGCTATTGGACCGATCCATCTCGCATCATTGATGCTGGACTCAGTGGTGGTTCTAGGACCTAGTCAAGGGGGGGGGGGCTTGGGGGGTGTGGAGCACCCCACAATAAAGCAGCAGGGTCCAGGGGTCCCCCCCGGGAAAATTTCGAATTTTCAAAGCCGTTTGGTGGCTTTCTAAAGTCATTTTTAACACCTAGAAGCGTGCCCAATTGTCCATAAACTCCCATTTCACCTGTTGTTTGTCATGAGCAAATAGACATTATAAAAATTAAAATATGACGATTGCATTCATAAATTTCAAAACATACTGTAGACTACGGTCATATCCTCCTAAAAGCCGTTGGGTGACTTTCTACAGCCAGTTTTAACGTCTAGAACTGTGTGCAAAACCTCCCATTTTCCCATTTATTTGTCATGAATAAGTAGACATTTTTAAAACTAACTATGACAATTGCATTCATAAATCTCAAAACATATTGTAGGCTACGGCCATATCCCCCTAAGAGTTGTTTACTAACTTTCTAAAGCCATTATTAATGTCTACATCTGTTTAAAAACCTCCCATTTTTCACCCGTTATTTGTCTTTGTCAAGAACAAGTAGACATTTTAAAAATCAAACTATGACGAATTTCACGAATTTCAAAACATAGGCCTACTGTAGATTAAAAAAGTCATATCTCCTAAAAGCCGTTTGGTGACTTTATAAAGCCATTTCTAACGTCTAGAACTGTGCCCAATTGTTCTAAAACCTTCCATTTCACCTGTTATATGTCACAAAAAGCAAGTTGGCAGACACGTTTTTTAACCTTACGTTTTTCTCCATTTCATGGATCTGTCACAATTGTATAGTATCGAATTCAGTAATAGCATTGACTATATAAACTTTAACACTAGCTTAGTCAATGGTAATAGGCTACTGGCTACTGGTGCTACCGCTGATTGCTGATTGATGCCTGTGTAAAGTTAGTGGCTAGCAGAAAATTTGACAACTAACTATGGAACATCAGGAAATCAGCTGTTTCCCCGTCCTCGCTCGTAGATGCTCCCGCCTTGGCCCTAGCATGTCAACAGCTGACTGCTGTAAAAATATGATCATGCATACAACTTTCCATAGCGTAATGTTGTTTTATTCGTTGTACTATATTGTCCACAAAGTTTATCTATGAGGAACTTAATACTGCTCCTGCCATCGCTTATTAAGTATAATAAAAACTACATTGATGTCTGTATGACATTGCGTGTTTTAAGGACGAAATGCGCGTTTAAATTTATTTTTTTCAGGGTCCAAGGGGGGGCTTTAGCCCCTGTACCCCCCCTTTTTTTTGTCCTAGGACCCTAGGCACGAGCCTGGGATTGTTTTTCACATTACTTCAGGCTAGACCTAGGGGTTGCGGCATTATCACTTAGATAAAATCCATTGGTGACTTGGCGGGGATCGAACCCGGGACCTCACGGACCGAAGTCCCGCGCTCTAGCCACTACACCAGCTCGCTCCCCCCCTTGGAACCGCCACTGGCTGGACTCTAATATGAAAGGCAGTTTGATTGACCCTATCGAGCTACTTGACGCCATAGGTTTTGTTTGTGATTGTGCTTAGCAGATGAATTTGGACGTTTTAAAAGTAAGAGAAAGTCTTATCGTAAGAGAAAAAAGGAAAGCTAATCCTCAAGATGTTTCTTTGGGAAAGGATGGACGATGAGGCAGACCTTCCAACTCTCTCGCATTATGCGGGAGTCTCCCGCATTCTGATGTTCACTCCCGCTCTCCCGCTTTCAGTAGAAGAACTCCTGCATATCTGATACTATACTCACAATAGAGTAATTTTTGGATAATCGGGAATTTTTCATCACGTTAACGTTAGGTTGGTAGCTCTGGGAGACTCGGAGTCTGCCTGGGCGGGACTGTCGTCTCACTCGTTTGTCGTTCTGTCACGTAAACATAACCTTAAAAGTTGAACTCAGGCGCAAAATAGCCAAGTGTGTAGTCTGTTGGTGTTTATTTAAGTTTTGTTTTGTCGGTTAAGAAGTAGAGTACCGGTAGTAAGTTAGTAAGAAACTGGAACCAAGACTGCAATTTCAGATCCTAGTCTCATGACATGTAGTTAAAAAATATTAAATATGTTAATATAGGCTATGTTTTTTGTTTTATTTGTTTAGCTTTGAGAACAAACTCTAAAGACTTATTTCTTTAAAGTATACGTACGTTTTATTATTTTTGTTTTACAACTAATTACCTAACCAAAGTTTTTTTTTTCAAAGATGGCACAAATTTAGTTGCTAGTTTCATAAATACAGTTAGTAATAATAATGTATTTTTTGCCTTTTGCTTACCCAAACAATTTCTGAGGAGGTTAGTTTCCCAAAAAAAGGAAATGTATGGTGTTTTGTGCGTTTATTTTTAGCCTATACAAATGTGTTCAGTTTGGTTTTAAGAAATATAATTAATTTTCAATTTGAAACTCCTTTTGATATTTTAAATTCATATTAATTTATTTTTTTCATATTTTAATATATATATATATTTTTCTACAGTATATAACTCTGGTGTTTTGTTTTATTGTTCAATAATGAAAATAATGTAAATTTCATGACAACAAATGTAGTTTTATTTCACTTTCCTGGTGTGCTTACAAATTTGCTATTTTCAATAACTTTTGTACGTTTTTGGATGATATCAAATGGGAAAAATTATTAAAATTAATATTTAAAACTCTATTTAAAGGTTAGTAAAAATGGTTAGAAACCCGTTTCCAGGCTTAAATTTTCAAACATTTTCTGGGGGAGGAGCCCTGCGGCTGGGGGATCACTCCCGCCTGTAATTCCTCCCAGGTTGACAGGTCTGGATGAGGATAAATTTTTAAGGCGGAATACGGAGTATTAATTAATACGGAAAGCAAATATATCATACGAAATACTTGCATCAAATATTTTTGTTTTTAGTATGTAGAGTCGGCAGGAGTCAATAGTTTTCATTGTTGTTGACCATTAGATGCCAGGCTAAACAATGATTGTCCTCGTGCCGATCAGCAAAACCATGCGTTCATGTTGAAGCATATTAATCATGCACAATAAGCTTGATTAGCGAGCAGAAAATGTTATGTGGTTCTTAAATATATTTTCCTTGTGAATTGCTTCTCGGATTTTTAAAACTTTTTTTAGAAGTTGAATTCACATTCCCGGTTTCAATAGCTTTAAAACAAGATATTTTGCAACTTTTTATCTTATTAAACAATGCCGTAATATGCTTCAACCATTAACACTGCTGTTATGGGCAGAAAATCCAAGATGGTTGATGGTCCTGCCAACTCTTAATTTGATATACAGTAGAGTCCCGCAAACTCAGCGTAATGTGGACTGGAAGGGTGCCGAGTTTGTGAAATACCGGGTTTCGGGAACTAGGGTTAAAAATAAGAACAATACATTTTTTAATCATTTTAGCTACCTTATTTATTTATATTTATATTACAAGTCAGTATTAAGTCATCAGATATCGTACAATAAATCCTTGGTACGAGTTTTGAATGATTTTACTTGAGCCCATGTTTAACTCGGACTCAAAAAATCACGAATTTTCTGAGCCAGGTGATGGCCGAGTTATCCAGACTGCCGGGTTATCGAGTGCCGAGTTTGCGGGACTCTAATGTATATGTTATATAAATTGGTTTAAATACCTGCTTCTAGTAATCCAATAGTCACAATTTCTGTCACACAACTAGTTTTGACTTCATGTAGAAGTCATCCTCAGGCGTCCAGTGGATGTCAAAATAATCACTTCATCAGAAGGTCGTCGATACACACAGGCGTGTGAATGTACCATGTGATGAAGTTAATAATAAAATATTAATAAAAGTTAAGTTAAGTTAGTTAAGTTTAAAGATAAGTTTTTTCTTTAATCTTAAAAACACTGTAACTTTATTGACCTAAATCATATATATTTTTATTTATTTATTTATTATATTTTATCGCTATTTGTTAGAATTTCTATTCGTTATTCCCAAGTATGTACTTGGCGTACTATAATCAGTTTTTTGCCATACACTCCAAATATTCTGAAATTCATATAGTCTTCACTGATTAAAAGGATATGATCCAAGAGTAAAGTTTCGGATGGCCTTGACTTTCAAAAAGGCTGTAAAGTCGGTGAGGGAAGCTCGCACCTGATGGGTGACTAGTTCAGCTGCATCTTCACCTCGGGTCAGGCCTGTGTTGTCTAGACATGTGAGCCGTAGTAGGGACTGCAGCAATACATGTAGACCAGTAGACAGGGAGTCCACTTCAAGGGACCCTTCACGCTCCTTCACCACCTCTTGTAGCTTCCTGACACAACGATAGTAAACCAACTTAACTCTCCAGGGGACACACGTTGGGTAAGGAGTGGCAGTGGTGGGAGTGCTAGTAAAGTAAAAACAACTGAGCACGCTGAAATTAATATGTTTTTCTTGAAGTAACATGTGACATGTTTCAGAACTAAGTACATTTTCAAATTTCAATAAATAGTAAATACCTAACTTTTGATTATCTTTATATTATAACTAGCTGACCCGGCGAACTTCGTATCGCCTAAGTTATAGGTTTCCCCTAAGACAGACCGATGGAAAGAAAGTACCGTTACGTTTAATTTTCAAGATGATCTTGTTCGCATCGCTCAATCACGTCCTGGTTGAAGTTCGTTCGCTAGGCTCACTCACCTTTGGGTTGGAGCTCGTTCGCTACGCTCACTCCCCTTTAGGTTGGAGCTCGTTCGCTGCGCTCACTTGCCTTCAGGTTAGCTCGTTCGCTACGCTCACTCGCCTCCAGGTTGAAGTTCGTTCGCTACGCTCACTCACCTTTTGGTTGCAAATTAGCTGTTGTCATAAATGTAAAAGAAATAATAGTGCTGCACCCTGTTGGTAATCCTTGTAACTTTAATGCTATTGAACACCATAGAACAGAACCAACTTGTTTAATTGAAACAGCTGTTAAGATTCATTAATTCCATTTCTCATAAGGTTAACATGGGAAACTCCAGAGCCACTGGGGCGGAGCCCTTTTAAGAATTTCGAAACGGGAAATAGTTTACGTCCGATTCGCATACCTACAGAATTTACACACCAAATTTCATAACGATCGGTGAAGTCGTTCCGGAGGAGTTTGCAGACAAACACTGTGACACGAGAATTTTATATATTAGATTGGTTTTTGTATAGAAATAAATATCTTTACAGAGGATTTTTTAAATGAACAGGATTTGGAAGTTTGTTGACTAATGATTATATATGAATATTTTTTTGAATAAAAATGGCTGTGAAAACCTTTTTTTCCTTTAAGGTCTCCTCTCCTGTAAGTTAGTCTGAAACCCACCAAAACACAGTTCCTTTCGAAATGAACATTTTCATGGCCATTTTAAAACTCCCTAGCCCATTTATGCACTACCCTCTATCATTGTATTGTGATAAAAAAAACCTCAGTCATCTGGCGATGAATGTCAGCATCAGATATGTTTCTTTTTGTCAAAAACGTATCACTGACCAAATCTCGCAAAGGGTGGGAAATTCAATAATTCTAAAAACACACAGCAAAGTGTACCAGGGTGTCCACCAGGCTAACCAGAAAAAAATCATGAGTAATTCCAGGTAGTTCAGGTGGTACTTTTCGTCAATGATGTAAAGAACTACTGGATTGCGCTCTCAGTAGCACTGCGGGCGCTGTTTTCGGTCTAGCTCCCCCCACCATCTACTGGCAGTAGCAGACGCAGCCCATACACTCACCATTATAAAACCCACCTTTTTAAGTTGCTGCTCTGTTGAAATATATGGATATAAAATATTGCTAATGCATGCCAAACTCTTTTTACTATTCTAAACTTTATGTCTGTTTCTTTTCTTGCAGAAAATAACACATTTAAACTCTATAAACCCCGACTACATTTGTGCAGTTTTTACTGCAGATGTTTGCTGTTAACGCGATAGGCCTATTCTTTATTTTGCTTTTTTGTGACCAATTTTGTAAAATACATTGTCAATACACATTGAAAGAAAAAAGTATCGAGTTTATGTCAAACATAGGTCTGCGGCAAAAACTTAAATTATTCTGTTCAGAAATGTATATGTACTATTTTTTTTGTAATAAAATAGGTTTTAAATTACAAATATTTTACTTTCTATTTCTCCTTTGTAATTACTTATTATTTTACCATGTAAAATTTGGAACTAGCAATATTAGTTGTCTAAAAACATCTACAAATCGAGTTTAGTGAATTTGTAGTGTTAATGAACTGATGGGTTATTTTCTGCAAGAAACAAAACAGACATAAAGGTTTAAATGTTAAAAAGAGTTTGACATGCGTTAGCAATATTTTATCCCTATAGGCCTATATTTCAACTGAGCAGCAACTAAAAATGTGCGTATTATAATTATGAGTGTATGGGCTGCGTCGGCTGCTGCCAGTAGATGGTGGGGAACCTAGACCATGCGGCCATCACTGAGCCAGCGATCCGTGAGTTGTTTATATCAACTCCCACAATGCTGTTTTAGCACTTACCACCCAGTTTCATTTCATAGTTAAAGAAACGAACCGTATGATTACTGTAATATTGCCTGACACAAGTATGCAGTTTTTACATATTACTGATTAAATAATCAAAAAATTAAACCTGAAATTTACCAATAACTTCTTAAAATAGTGATATGTCGATACAAAAATTTCTCGAATCTTCGTACCAACACCTGAAAAATAGATTCTTATTACTGTTTATTTTAATTTTACTTAATTTTTTCTGTAAGAATTAATACACTAGACCCTGGCTTTATGTACTTAGCCTACATATAGTATGTAATTTTGGAGTTATGGGTTGTTTTTTTTCAAGAGGCCTACAGAAATAATTAATGCAGAAATTACAAAAATTTTACATAACCAATTTAAGTTGCCTACCACTGTTGTAGAGACACCATCGTTTTCCGCGATAACTATATTTTATATTTTTTTATTTATATTTTGAGTGAAACTGTCACCATTGAAGACCGACATTTTTCCCTAGTTGTGTTTATTATTAATTGTAATACCATGTTAACATTCCTGTTATTTGATTAATGCTACAAAGTAATTGGCATGTGCTGTTTTGTAGCATTGAAAATAAAATAAATAAATAAATAAACTGCAAAATCCTGAATATCTCCCTCAGTAACGGAAACATCACCACTGTCTTCCGTGGTCGTGACAAAATCCTGATATTGTTCAGGGGTAACGGAAACATTATAATTGTCTCCCGCAGTCACAAAAAAGTTATCTTCATATTCCCCGATTATAGCTTAATTCTAATAATTTCCCGCAGTCATCATCGTCAAGCAATAGTTTTTGGACATCATCATCATTTCCCGCGGTCATGGAAACGTCATCGTTCACATGCACGATCACAGCAAAATCACTAACATATCCCGCAGCCGTTTGGACATCATCATCGTCTCCCATGGTCACAGAAACGTCATCGTTGTCTCCCGCGGTCTCGGAAAAGTCATCGTCGTCTCCCGCGGTCATGGAAACGTCATCGTCGTCTCCCGCGGTCACAGAAACTTCATCGTCATCTCCCGCGGTCAAGGAAATGTCATCTTTAGGCGCAATCGAATTTAAAATAGAAAATTCCCGATAAAATACAAAATTCACGCACAACTCCCAATTTTTTCCCGGTTCAAAAATCATGCATAGTTCCCGGTTTTCCCGGTAGGTGAACACCCTGTGTACACGTTAGGTACAGAGCTACAAATGGTGTCATTCTGTTCAAAAATTATGCCAGTAAGCAGCCAGGAGCCTCGTTGCGGCATACACACAATTCATGGAGCCATACGAAAAAACGGCCACCGACCCTGATAAATGATCTGGCAAACAAAACAGCTGATCTCAGTCAGAAACAAAGCTACAGTCATCTTTCACTTGTATTTTGGTTAAAAGATGCATCTAGGTTGTGTCTCCTTATCAATTATACTTATACTTATATAATATTATTGATTATACTTATCAATTATCTCAATTGTTGATACTCACTTCTTTAACTGGTCCCATTTGGAGTGAAGTTGTTTGGTAATGGTTTCAACATGAGGTGTGTTGTGACTTTTATTCTTTTTTAGTGTGTCAAATATTCTTTTCATAGCTCCATCAAGAATTTCAAGTACTTTTCGAACACCTTCTTCTCCATTTTCGCTCATCTGTATATTTTGTATTAAAACAAGAGCCGAGAATGCATCATGCAATCCAGTGCATAATGCTTCATGACTTGTCTGAAATAAAACAGCAGTAGTTGTTAAAACATTCATGTGACTACCTACATTAAAAAATTATACTTTATTGACTAGAACACTAAGTTTTAGTATAGTCTGTGGGATAACTATTGACTCTCTTTATCTGACTATTATTACCAGTTATATTTTTTATCCCAAACAAATAATAATTTAGGTACTAAAAACAATAAGTTAGAAATATGCTGCTATTAATTATACAAACATGAACTAATCATAGAAATAACAGAAAATTATAAGTAACCTCACTAACAAAGAAACTAAATTACACACAGTGGACAGATAATAATGTACACTGACTTAAACATTAAAATTAATAGAAGATGCAAAAGACCCTCAATTATTCCTAACCAAATTCTATGTCGATTAACACGTTCGCTATCGAGTACCACGGATCGAGGTATACAATTTAATCTTGCACATAGACTGGCTGTCACTTAATTAACATTACACGCATACCACAAAAAACCTGTTAAACAGTGATAATTTACTTTGTAATACTCTGCAATCTTGTTTGTAAATAATATATTCTTGTTTTTTTTTATATTTTTGATAACCCTTATCTTATCTTATCTAACAGGGGTGGCCGAGACCTTTAAGCACTTCATCCGAAAATTACGCAACCCAGACAATTGTTTTCTTGATGACCTTACAAGATAAGGCGTCCAATGAATGCATGTAGCTTCCCAATTAGTTCATCCTCGGGAAGATATCTTCCTCTAACCAAATTACCAAGAGTTACATTCTAGCATCAGAGAGCTCGCCACAATCAAAGAGCAGGTGATCGGCTGTCTCCTCTGACCTATCACAGTGCCTACAGACCGGTTCACCATCAAATAAGCCCATCCGTTGTAAATGTTTACTGAATCGCCCGTGACCAGTTATCAGTTCTACAATTAATTTGATTCTTTGCCTGTCTAGTCTCAAGAGGTCAGAGGCAACCTTTTTAGAAGGCCTAAACAGAGTAAGCTTGCTGACCCTAAAAGGGGAGTATCATTTGCGGTGCTTTTCTTTTGCCTATGACACAATCAAAGACAAACATGCGCTGTTTCGTGAAATGCCACAGAAGGGTTGTGGGCCTATAATTGTTGTCGCAGAGGCAGTGTTTGCCAATCTGTCAGCAGCTTCATTTAGTTTCATGCCTGAGTGTCCAGGCATCCAGCAGATAGTAAGATCATTTCTCCTACCCAACTCAGACACAGAAGCAAGGCAATCCCACACGAGCCTAGAGTTGAATTTGTAAGAGTTTAGTGCTTTTAAGGTGGATTGACTATCAGTATAAATATTGATTGTTTTGTCTCTGATCTCTTTGTTAAGATGTTCTTGAGCACAAACCAATATGGCAGTGACCTCCGCTTGAAAAACAGTTGGGTACACCCCGATGGGAAGACAAATGCCAGTGCCTTCTTTTATCCAATGCACACCTGCTCCAGTGCCCCCATATTTGATCTTAGAACCGTCAGTGTAGCATTCTAAATCACCTGTGGGGATGGGCCCTTTTCCGCCAGACCAATCCTTCCTATCTGGTATTAGTACTTTGAAAGGCTTTCCAAAGGAGTATTTTTTGGACATGTGACCTGAAGGCAGGTCCAACTCTTCATTGTGTACCACCGAAACAATTTTGGAGCACCCTTTATTGTTTCCTGTGGTTATCCATAAGTTTTCGCATCTGAGGCGTAGGGCTGTTTTCTTGCTACCACCTTGATAAAAATGTCGATGGGTAGCATATCAAGCAGACAATCTAGAGCTGCTCCAGGATAGCTACTTACTGCCCCAGTTATCATTATAAGAGCAAGCCTCTGAACTCCTGCTAAAGCTTTGACAGCTGCAGTAGATTCCCTCTTAGGCCACCACACAAGCGAACCGTAAGTCAGGGCGGGTCGGACAACAGATACATACAGCCAATACAAGAGTTTAGGCTGTAACCCCCATATTTCACCTACCATCCCTACATGCTATTAGGGACCACTTACCACGATCAATGACTTTTTGAAGATGTGGTGCCCAGTGAAGTGGTCTGTCCAAATTTACACCTAGATACTTCACCTGATTCTGCAGCTCTATTTCAGTGCCCTGCAGTATTAGTGGGCCAATCCCTTCCAGTTTCCTCCTTCTTGTGAAGGGTACCATTACAACTTTTTTGATAACCCTTTTTAATGTCGCATATTTGCGACACCCGGTCTACAGCGAAGAAAATAGTGAAAATTATTATATTTTTCTTGAAATAGCCCAAACGTCGCATATATACGACAGTTCATTTTTGTTTTTGTTTTTAGGTGAAAGTAAGTAAAAAAAATATATTTTTCAAGATCAGTTTACAATAGAACATACATAAAAGCTACATGGGATAATGCAGAATACACACAGCATACATAATACAGTGATGCGGCAAAGTAAAGAACATATGAATGAAAGATTTGGTACTATTGCCGTAGCGAATGTGTTAAAACATATCAGAAGCAGCACAAAAAACATTAGGCCTACAAGCTAAAACTTGTAAGATAAAATTTTAATCAGATATCTAACAATTCAAATGTCCCACCAAGAAGTCTTTTTGTAATCCCGGAGATAACTTCTATTGGCGCCCTTTGGTGCTTGAAAATCAATGCACCCGACGGAAGGTTAACAAAGTGTTGTTTATGAAATTTTGGAATCTGTCCACATGCTAAAATATTATGAATGCTTTGCGTTGATCGTAAAAATAGTAATAAACAACAAATAAAATAAACTCTTAAACTCTGTCACTTATAGCTCTTTGGTTTTTCCAATTGTTTGAAGTCTTCTGTTAGGTTTTGTATGTTGCTAACAAGGCCGTGGTTTTGATTTAAGCAAGTGTCAAATTTATTTAAGAGTATCACTAAATTTGGTAAAATTTCAGCAATAGCTACCTCTTCGTATTTTTCTGCCAGTATTCTTAACTGAGCATGAAGATCTATGCCGATATCTATTACTTCTTCATTGATAATATTCGTTTTTAAGCCATTTAATAGTTCTTTTGTCTCTTCATTAAAAAAACGCATTCCGTTTCTTATTTTCATTTTTATTTGTTTAGTATTATTTAGTTTTAGTTTAGTTCAGTTTATTGTTCTGAATAGCGCCTTCAATACTTGAAACACATTCACGTAGTACTCTACTATCAAACCGGAAGTATTACAAAATGCTGCGGGCGTAGCGAACTTGCAGAATTGCTTATAGGTAGCGTTGTGATGTTCTTAAGGATAGGGGTGGCTGCACGTATCCCGTATAGGTGGCGTCTGGCCTCTGTACAGTGGCGCTTTATTTAGCAAGTGTTGAGGTGGAAGTTGAGTGGATTAACTGTTTGGCTAAATGTTAAATGAACAAAGCTAGGTTAGTATTTAAAACTCCTCACATTCAAAACTTACGCAGAGTAATATTCAGTAAACCACAACAGTAGACGTGGGATACCATTGACTACACACAACAATGAAAGTTTACTCAAATCATTGAATTATTTTAGGAAAATCAAAAAGAGTATACAGAGCAAAACAGACACGTCTAACAAGAAACCGTGGACACAAGACCCGGTTTTCATTCTTTGATGTGGTATTTACAGAGTAAATACTCATGATACAGGTAACTAAATGGCATTTCTAAGTTACCTGATAAAGAAGTAACAGTGAAACTCCCTCAGACAATGTTGACATATGCACTATGTGAGGACTGAAGTTACCATTGCCAGATAGAATAACAAGGTCACTGTAGACACTGTCTTGATCTGTGGAAGAAACAGTAATTTATTCATAGGGTGTAATTTCTTATATATATATATATACATATTAATTTAGGTGTTCACGTAATAGGGCTGCTGATATACTAAAGTATTGTTGTAAATAAGTATAATATTGTAAGTAAATCCTGTCTAATTCTATAAATCATCTGTATATCTAAATTATATCTAAATACTATACAATCCGATGTGTAACTGACTGGGGATACAAATTCTAGACCACTTCTAGATGAGCTAGAGACTTGAAATTTTCGGTGGTTGTAGGTCTAGTGCCCAAACCACCCATAAAATTCCAAAAAGTCGCATTTTCAAATTTTAACCCCCCCGAAAATTCGAATTCCCCCCCCATGTTATTCTTATGGGGAATAACATTAAAAATGGCCGACTTTCGTGTTCCCATCTGAACCACTTAGAAACGTGCTAGAGACTTCAAATTTGCGTAGTATTGTAGTAAAAGATCTTACATTACCGGTGGAATATGCAAAAGTCCCATTTTCAAATTTTAACCCACCCAAAAATCCAAAACGGCGGACCTCTGAAAACGAAAAAACACTTTTTTTTCAACCGGATGTAGCTCGAAAACGGTAAGAGCTAGAAAGGATTTGACAGTATATCCAGGAACAGGAATTAAATTTTCTACAAAACCCTCTTCGGCGTTTTCAGAAAATCGCACTCCTTAAGCTTCAAAAAACGCCCTACTTTCAAAATTTTGTAAATTTTTTTCAAATTTTTATCGGTTTTTGCTATGTTTTCGTACCTAAATAATTATTTTTTGCAAATATTATTAATGTTTCGTATTCTCCTTAGTTTACTTTACATTTCACCCTTTACATGTATTTTCGTAACTTTACTCCTTGACCCCCAAAAACTTAATTTTAATGTGAAAATTTGATTGGTTTTTACCGGTTTTACCAGCCCCATGTTATCCTTATGGAGAATAGCTATGTAATTTTAATACTTTGGTATGCTCATCTGATTAGTTTAGAAACGTTCTAAAGACTTTAAATTTTTGTAGTATTGCAGTATGGGATCATCCGTTAATGGTGGAATTTGCAAAAATGCCTTTTAAAAATTTTAACCCCCAAAAAAATCCAAAATGGTAGACGTATAAAAACGAAAAAACACGGTTTTTAATACCGACTATAACTAAAAAACGGTAATAGCTAGCAAAAATTTGAAAGAATCTTCATGAACAGGAATTAAATTTCCTACAAGACACTATTACGCGTTTTTAGAAAATCGCACTCCTTCACCTAAAAAAAACGCCCTACTTTCAAATTTTGGTAAATTTTCTTCAAATTTTTAACGGTTTTTGATAATTTTTCGTACATAAAAAATTTTTTCTTCAAATATTATTAATGTTTCGTACTCTCCTTAGTTTACTTTACATTTCACCCTTCACATGTTTTTTCGTAACTTTACTCCTTGACCCCCAAAACGCGTAGGTCAGTAACGCTGTATAGTCATTTGGTTCTCGCTCTAATTTTTGCTAATGGATTTGGCTACCCATGATTAAGTTTCACTGTCACTTCTTCCTATTTATTGGACTTGTTATTTTGGCGATTTTGCTGCAATTTTCTGTAAGCATGGAATTCTCTTGCGTTGCTGCTGGGTCGTTCCACCAGGGAGATCCCAGATTTACCGAGAGCAACAACGCTCAATGCATGGCAAATGCAACCTGTGCCCTCGCATGGCAAGCATTCTGCGGCGGATTCAGTACCAACGCTATTGACGCTATACTCATGGCGGGCGATAGCTTGTATACACTATCTCGCCGTGAGCATAGCATCACTAACCGGTATCTGTTCCCTGAGGACCTCGCCAGGCACTTCGTGGTTGCACACCATCGTGTTACCATCGAAGAAATTTCTTGTGTTTGGGACGGGTTGTATCCGTTACGAAACGATGGCCTAGATGAGGTGACCTCTTCCTTGTCTTCGGTTTTGGAAGCAGCTATGCCCGGTGACTCCGTTGATAGCGGTTTTTTGTTTACGGGACAGTTGGTGACAGTCGCTTTTTGGCGTTTCCAAGGGCGGCTGTACCTCTTTGATTCCCACGCGGTAAACGAAAACCGTCGTCGAGACATTGATGAGGCGAGAAATAAGGCTAGGGTGTTCGTCTGTAATAGTTTTCGTTCTCTAGCTTCCCTCATTTTGGTGAATTCTGCGTTCGTCGGTGGGCAGTACTCCGTCACAAAAATAAAGTTTTCCGTCAACGAAACTCAAACTGTCCACACGGTCGACTGTTCGGACAATGACTTAACTCAGTTATCAGAATCTGCCTCTGAGACAGTTGTTCAGAAAACCAAATGTCCTGGTAGACCAAAAACAATAAAGCGTGGTCGTCCAAAGCTTTTAGACACGACCCGAGAAGAGCAAGTGGATGCGGCGAAGAAGAAGTATAGGGAGACGCACGCTGACAAACTCCGGGATGACAGTCAACGTTACACTCAAACCCACCCTGAGGTGCACCGAAAGGCTGTTCAGCAATACGACCTGCGTAATCCCGGTGCTTCTGCTGAGAGAGTTCAGATTTTTCGCCTGAAAAATCCGAAAATGTCTGAACTTCGCTATATGCCCGCATCACTTGCTCGGTCCGTAGTCAAAAATGGCCCCATGTCTGTTTGGAATGGGGAGCCACTCAATGAAATACAACCATACAAATTAAAAAAAGTCAGTCTCTGGGTTGACGACGTTTACAGATGTCGTCATTGCCAAGCACGGCTCTTCGAGGAGGAGAAGAATAGAAAGCAATGGTGCTGCGGGGAAGGAGCGTTCAATGTTCTCGACATTCCTCCGTTGCAAGAACGCTTTTATTCCGACCGTCTCTTCCTGGAAAGAGCCCGTGCGTACAACGACCTGTTTGCTTTCTGCGCGCTCGAAGTGTCAGGCGGGTATCGTCATCCCAGTGGTCTTTCTTTTTTCAAGATCGAGGGAAGAATGTACCACCAGGTCTACAATCTGGACGCCCCAGGACAAAAGTTCACCACTCGTTCTGGGAACGTTCAGTTTGTGAATCGGTCCCGCCTGTATATTGACGATGGCGAAGAGCGCCGTAACATTGCGATGGGTAGATCGCTTGATGCCGAGATCATCGACGGTATTGCTGATTTCCTGTCTAGGGAAAATCCTTACATTGAGCATTACCGTCGATTGAGCAACGAGCCTTCCGTAACAGCTCACTTGGCTTTTGAAGTAACAAGCAGGTCTACCCATGGCCCTGTTCTCGGTGATCGGCAAACAGGCGTCGAAGTGCACGCCGTGCTCAGCAATGATGAAAACGACACTGAGCCCCGGAGACTGACTATATGGAAATCCGGTTCCGATAGACCTACATTTATTGATCTTTTACACCCCCTAATGGAACCTTTCCAATATCCCCTACTTTACCCGCAAGGCACTGTGGGATGGCACGTTGGCCGCCTTGATAACAAGGGTGCCAAACTGACTCAATTTAAGTACTCGCGGTGCCTCCTACTTTCTGAACCTCGCTTCTCTCACCTAGGCCGTCTCTCACAAGCTTGGCAGGTTGAGATGTTCGCGAGGTACGAGGAGGAGAAACTGCGTTACATTAAGTTTACGCAGCTGAAGAACACCGATAGTGCCTTGCGGGTGGGGCCGGTTGACGAGATTCGGAATGCACAGCAGGTCTTGAACGACATCGCTCGTGATGAAACCGTCCAAGGCGAGGGTGGGGTGCAGGCAGGAAAAGTCTACCTCCCAAGTTCGTTCACCGGGGGGCCCAGGTACATGAAAGTAAAATACGAAGACGCTATGGCAATCGTATCGCGCCTGGGTTCCCCCACTTTCTTTTTGACGTTTACTTACAACGCGACTTGGGAGGAAAACAAGAAAGCTTGCCCTCGTGGAGGTACTCGCAGTGACCCTAGCACTGCTTGCAGAGTTTTTAGGATCAAACTTCTGGAACTTCTCCGAGACCTGCGCAGCGGAGCAATGTTTGGACGCTCTGTCTATATCGTCTACGTCATCGAGATGCAAATGAGGGGCCTTCCTCACGCCCACATTGTATTCAAGATTGACGGTGACGGACCAGTTCAGGCGTCCGAAATTGACTCCATCATCCGCGCGGATATTCCCTCGGAAGAAGAGGCCGGAGGCCGACTGAGAAAGTTGGTCCTCAAACACATGATCCACGGTCCATGTGGTAATGATCATAGGACTGACTTTCTCTGTTGGGACTCTGCAAAGGGTTACTGCACCAAATACTTCCCCAAGCCCTGCTGTGAAACCACCCACGTCGACGAGAGGGGATTCGTCCAGTACAAGCGAGATTATACCAATCGGGGGACAATTGTATCACGCAATAAGAACATTATCGTACATGACGGTTGGGTTGTGCCTTATAATCCCGCACTGATGTTGAAATACGAGGCTCACATCAATTTGGAGCTGGCGTCTACTCGCCGTGTGATTAAGTACCTCTTCAAATATCTTATGAAGGGAGGATCTCTCCAGAACGTCACAGTTACTCCCTTCAGTAAGCAAGATGATGAGGTACAGCATTACGTGACGAAGAGAATGGTGGGTGCCAGTGACGCGCGCTGGCGTTTATTAAACTTTCCAGTATCAGAATCTGAGCCGGCTGTTGAATGTCTTCCCGTCCATCTGGAGGGCAAGCAGTCCGTCCTGTTTAGACCTGGCCAACTGGCAGAGGCAGCCGCTAGGAACAGCTCCAAACTCACCATCTACTTTGACCGGCCTCGTATTTCACTGTTTGACGACCTGACTTATCAGGGGTTCTATGAAACGTATGAAAACTGCGGAGATATACGAGCACCCCGATGGCGTCCATTTTATCACTGCCCGACAGCGTGGCGAGAAGGTGTGCAGACTGTTTTGGGTCTCACCGAGCAGGACAGAACAGTATTACCTGCGTATCCTGCTTATGACTGTATCTTGCCGTGGTTATGCCGACCTCCTGTCCCGCGGTGGACCAAACTGCCGCACTTTTCAAGGGGTCGCGCGGCA